CCCCCCCCCCCCCCCCCCCATGACCTCCCCCCGCCCCACCGCCGTTACCTTCACCGTGGTTCTGAATTCGGGGCCGGGGCCGTGCGGGAAGGTGCCGTGCGGGTGCACCTCGTAGCGGTGCAGGGTGGCCTCGCTGCGGGAGCACGGCGGGTGGGGGGCGGCCCTGCAGACCCTCCCAACCCCACGGAAACCCCCCCCACCCCACAGCGCCCGCTTTACCTGGACAGGAAGAGGTCGGGTTCGTAGCGGATGGGGGCAGAGAGCAGAACCGCGTTGTCCCACAGCGTCGCGTTGGGTTCGGTGCTGTCGCTGCGGGGGGGGGGGGGATCCGGGAATTGAGGGACCCCCAAAACGCCCCGTAGCCCCGGGGGGGTGTTGGCGTTGTCACCATCCCCTACCTGGTGGCCTCCAGTGCCACTTCCACTCGGTTGAGCAGCACAGAGCAGCTGAACTCAAACTCCAGCGCGAAGACCACCTGGGGGGGGCGGCGGTGAAGGGCGCTGGGGGTCGGGGTGGGGGGGGCTCGGGGGGGCGCCCAGGCTCCTACCTTGGCCATGGAGCGGAACACGGGGGAACCCACACTGCACAGCTGCTGATGCTCCCCCAGCGCCGCGCACTCCAGCTTCACTGCGCTGCCATCCTGCGGGGAGCCGCACGGCGTGGGGCGGGGTTGGGGCTCCGGGGGCACCGGGGGCTGAACGCTCGGATGCGATGCGGCAACGGGGCCTCATCTCCCCGCTGGGATCAACGGGTGCCTCCTCCCCGCCGGTACCAGCGGGTCACCGCAGCCCCGCCGCATCACCGCATCCCTCGTTGGGACCGGCGGCTCCTCGCCCCCCAGCCGGGATCAGCGGCTCCCCGTTTTCCTACCGCGATCACCGCGTCCTCGTTTTCCAGCTGCGATCGCTGCTTTCCCACCTCCCGGCTGGGATCCCCGCAGCCCCCCGCACCCCGCGTCCCACACCCCCACCGCGACGGGCCGGGATCGAACGCATCCAAACGGCTCCGCGCGTCCGCGCCGTGCGGGCGGCCCCTCCCTCCCGCCGGGGGTCGCGGGGGTCCCCGCTCGTACCGGCAGCGCCATGCTGGAGAAGTGCAGGTTGGCGGAGGAGCGCAGCGCCAGGCGCGCGTTGTACGCGTTCTCCTTTCGGTTCTGCAGCGCCGCCTCCACGCGCACCTTCCGGCGGCCGCCCCGCACCACGCCGGGAGCGCCGCTGAGGGGAAAAGGCGGCTGCGTGACGGAATGCGGGGACACCGCGGGGATGGGAACACCTTGGGGACACCTCGTTAGAGTAGCATGGGGACACGCTGGAGACACTGCAGGGACGCTTTGGGGACATCCTGGGAATACTGCAGGGACACCACAGGGACTCGAGGACGCCACGGGGACATCCCGGGGTCACTGGGGACAACTTGGGGACATAGTGGAGATTCCTCGGGGACACCAGTGGGGTGCCATGGGGACACGCTGGCGACACGTTTGGGACACGTTGGATACACACTGGGGACACGTTTGGGACACGTTGGAGACACACTGGGGACATGATGGGCACACGTTGGGGACACATTGGGGACACGTTTGGGACATGTTGGGGTCACAAGGGGGACATGTAGGGGACACATGGGGGACACACTGGGACATGATGGGGACACACTGGGGACACAATGGGGACACATTGGGGGCACACGGGGGACATGTAGGGGACACGATGGGGACACATTGGGGAAGTGTAGGGGACATGTTGGGGACAAACGGGGGACACATTTGGGACACGTTGGGGACACGCCGTACCCGGCGCCCAGGGGCTGCATGGTGGCGCGCAGCACCAGGTCGGTGACGCACACGTCGTCCTCCCCGCAGTCCTTGAAGAAGGGGATCTGGGGGGGGGAGGGGACACCGCCGTCACCCCGCGGGGACACCGGCCCCACGCCCCCCCCGGCCCCCCGCCCACCTGCGTGCGGATGACGGTCGGGGAGCCCTCGTCCAGCGCCGGTCCCACGGGGTCGGGCAGCGCCAGGCGCAGCGTGAGGGTGAGGGGACGCAGGAACTCCGCGGTGTCCTGGGGGGGGGGCGGGGGGGGGCGTGGGGCCGGTGTCCCCGCGGGGTGACGGCGGTGTCCC